ATGTTGTTCACATCTCAATGCCTCAGTTCCAATCCCAAGCATGCATTTTACAACAAGCATGAAATGGAAGCCAAAGAGATAATAAGTGTCCTATAGACTTACAAATTTATCCATGAACATTCTTGGTTACACAAAATGGAGTTTCAACTCAACGCAAATACAACCCTGGCTTACATTCAACAAATAACAATAAAACAAAAATGAAGCCTCAGATCCAAGTCCTCCCAAGTTGGTACCTTGGCAGAGGCATATCACCTGCACCTGAAATGGTTTCCCTTATAGGGTAAGCCACAGCCCAGTAGAGATATACTACACAACATATGGACCATGACAAGACTAAAGAAAAGTATGCTCATGCCATACTCATGATAAAACAGTTCATCTCTCTTTTTATAAAGCATGCAATGCTGACATGCAACAACAAATATAAAACCATTTCCATTTTAACCATATCTGTTACATGAATATAAGCTCTGTGAATCTCTAGGTGAGTGTCTGCAAGTAGACCCTAATGCACTACCACTGTCATTTTTACTAGTAAACTGGAAGACTCGACACCTAACCACGCGGTTCTACACCCCCTACCTAGATTCACAAAGTATTCATCTTTTTGCAAACAGATACATTTCCAAACATTTCTCAAAAACAGATACATTTCCAATGAAATGAATGTAATGCAATGTCCCATGCAACAAATGAGGATTGTGGTTCAATTTACTTAACTCTCATGCATTTCTACAACAATCATGGCTATTCTCCATCGATAGCTCAAAACAGATATTTCCAAACCGATATTTAAGCAATTAAATTTCAAAAATTCTGATAAATACAATCTATTTCTCATCTGATCAAATATGAACAACTACACTAGTTTTCATATCACAATTACGTCCAGTAATCTCTCAAGGTCTATTTCTAACCGTGTCAGTTTTACTCCAACAGATAAATTAAGAAAAATAATACTGTTAATGCCCAAGAAAATAACATTTTCTTCCCAAACTCATTCTCCAAGCATTATTTAACTATGACATCCTATTTTGATAAAAGCCCCAAAAGTTAAACGTAATTCCTTTATTTTCTTTAAAAATGCTCTTTTAGTCGCAAACCAGTAAAAATTTCAAAACCAATCGAATCGAAGTTCGTTTTTATTCAAATTTAAAAAATAGCTCTTTCATAACCTTACAAACATATTCTAAGTTTACACTTTCGCAATTTGGGCATCAACTTTTTATTTTTTTCAAATTTTCCCTTTTAAGCAAATAAATCACAAATTTTTCAAAAATTCTAATTAAATTATATACATCTCTAAGCTCCATATAATCAAATAAAAAGTACATAAACAAGTGTAGGAAAAATTCCTACCTCGATCCAAAAGCTTCCAAGAAAATAAAAATGTTCGGCAACAAAATTTCAATTCGTTCAGATTAAATCGGAGCCCTCGGAACCATCTACAATTTGATCTATGGAACTAGGGTTTAAAACCTAACAGGTTTTGATGAATGAAGGATTTTATATAATAAAAACAAATAACCAAAGAAAAAAATTTCAGAATGAGAGAGATAACCGAGAGAGAGAGGCATTTGACGGAAACAAACAAAAGCAATCAAAAGTCTCCTTATTTCTCTGCCTTGTGCAGGCAGAGAAATTGATCAAAAAAGTATATATAAACAAAAGCTAAGCAAATGGCAAACCAATCACTCAAACAAGGCATGGCAAGCAGACCCCACGTGGTTCTTTCCTCAAAATTGATATAAATATCTACAATTAAAATTATGATTTAGCAAAATTATAAAATTTTATAACATAAAATTATAAAATGGTTTAATTTTTGTTATCACAAAAGATAACTCTCATTTAATGGTATACATCATAAATATTTACAACTCTTTTATAGTGATCAAATAATAATAATAAAACCACAACAATATCACATGGTTACTACCAGGTCACGATTCAATCAATTAGGTCCAAAATGAATGAAGTTTATTAATTTAAAATAAATCCCCAACTGAGATTAAAATATAAATTCAATTTGATTCAACTCGTTACAAGTGTCAAGCCTTCCAGTTAATACCAGTAAAAATAACAATTTGGTAGTACTTGTATAGTCTACTTGCAGACATCGACCTAGGGATTACCAGAGTCGTATTTACTGCCCTTGAAATAAATTGTTAAGTTTTGAACAATTGAGATTGCATGATATCATCGAGCATGATGGTTTTCAAAAGATGAAAATGTGATTTATCTTCAAAAAGAGTATAGCATGGCATGTGCATTTCATCTCTTGAGACTTGTATAAAATGTATATACTTTGTTAAGGATTTCTTACTGGGCTTTATGCTCACCCTACGGGATTTTTGTGTAGGAAAAGATGTGGTGATCATACCCAACTAGGGGTGTAGAAGTATGTATGTTGGAAGTACAATGCTCTCATTTTGCTGTGACTCTGTGTGTAAGCCAAGGACTGTGTTTGTGTGGGTTTGAATAACCGTTTTGTGTAACCAGGCCCAAGCCTTGGAAACTTGTAAACCCTTGGGGGTACTTATTTGTTTATTTACTTGTTGTTGGATTAATGTATTGTTGCATGAAGAACTATAGTATCATATAATGTAAGTTTGGAGATTTATATTCGGTTTTTCTTAAAAGAGTCATGATTGTTGTATTATCATTTGGGCTAGAAATTTGGGGCGTTACAATTTATGTACTTTTACTTGATTATATGGAGCTTAGAGTTGTATATAATTTAATTAGAATTTTTGAAAAATTTGTCATTTATTTGCTTAAAAGAGAAATTTTGAGAAAAATAAAGAGTTGATGCCCAAATTGCGAAGTGTAAACTTGGAATATGTTTGTAAGGTTATGAAAGAGCTATGTTTTAAATTTGAACAAAAACGGACTTTGATTCGATCGGTTTTGAAATTTTTATCGTTTTGCGACCAAAAGAGCATTTTTAAAGAAACAAAGGAATTACATTTAACTTTTGGAGCTTTTGATCAAAATAGGATGTCATAGTTGAATAATGCTTAGAGAATGAGTTTGGAAAGAAAATGATGTTTTCTTGGGCATTAACGGTATTATTTTGCTTAATATATCTGTTGGAATAAAACCAACACGGTTAGAAATGGACCTTGAGAGGTTACCGGACGTGATTGTGATATGAAAACTAGTGTAGTTGTTCATATTTGATGAGATGTGGAATAGATTGTATTTATCAGAATTTTTGAAATTTAATTGTTTAAATATCTGTTTAGAAATATCTGTTTTGGGCTATCGGTGGAGGATAGCTATGATTGTTGTAGAAATGTATGAGACTTAGGTAAATTGAACCACATTCCTCATTTGTTGCATTGAA